AGACAGACCTAAGCTCAGAAGTGTACAGTTTGGGATCTTGTGAACTTTAATGATATATATATAAGCTTGCAGAACTCATATTACTCCAGGTCTTTCCATACAGTTTAGTAGTTCAGTGCTGACAAACCCTGAGCTCAGTCAGCAGAGACACTGTGCTGCCTGTCCCCAGCTGGGGGGGTCTTCTCATACCTCAGAGGGACGTGGCAGCAAGACTGGGAGGGAAATGTGTGTTTTTAAAAGGTCAGGCTTGGTGCTTCACGGGGCCAGAGGCTGAGTTGCTCTGGCCCTGAGGGGAAGTGAAAAGTGCCAGTGGATTACTTTATTTTGCAGCATGTGTCTGACACAGAATTCTATCAGAATGCCGTGTAAGATCAGTGGATGTCTGGGCTTGGGAAGTAAACATGCATGTGCACGATTATACATCAGACTTGCACTCTGTAGACACTTGAACTTGCTGTTCCCAAGAGCCTTCACCAGCTGGAGTGGCAGATGCTCAGTGCAAAGCAAAAGCCACTTTTTGTATGTGGTGACTTTAAGGGGTACTGAAGGAGAGATGGAGAATGAAGCCCTTGTTTGGCTATCTGCTTAAGGACAGAGTCTTAGTACAGCTAGGACTGTAAACCTGTATTAAATATGAATATATATATTTTTAATACCCTTTAGTTTCCACTGCCACTTCCTGCAACGACCCAGGAATTCCCCAGAACGGGAGCCGGAGTGGTGACAGCAAAGAGGCAGGTGACTCCATCATCTTCCAGTGCAACCCAGGATATGCCCTGCAAGGGGAGCCCAAAATCACTTGCGTGCAGATCGAGAACAGATTTTTCTGGCAACCAGACCCTCCCTCCTGCACAGGTAGGAACACGCCTCCACCCTCCCATTGCACTGGTTTCATTGCCAGACTTCTGTCTCTGAAGAGGACAAGTCCTGCCTGGATTGAGCTGCTGGGTGACAAGGTACATCTGTCTCAGGTAGCTGCCTCACAGAACCTACTTTTTAGGTTTATCCCCAGAGTGTCTGGGACAATGAGAGTCTAGTTCATACTGGAAGCTCATAAGACGTATGATGTCGGTGATGCTATTTAACCTGACAAGCCAAAATTAAAGTCTTCTTTAAAACTCAGGTTGGTAGGGAGGTTTGGGGACACGGGTGAATGATTTCTGCATGAAGAGACAGCAAATTCTGTCACAGGAAGAAATGTTTGACATTTTCTTTGAGCTCATAAAGTAATAAAAGAAGGTTGTAAAAGTACTTTTTTTAATATATCCAGAATATAAAAATAGTCATGCTAAGCACAGAGCAATAAACATCACATTTGCTGGCCAGTTAAATGCTAGCCACAAGCTACTTACGTGTAACCTTCATCCCTGTTATCCCAAGCAAGAAAAATCAATTAATTCTGTTTCTAACATCTGATTTAATGCCAGCTAGGAAACTTGTACAGCATGCCCAGGGTGGACGCCCCTGGGGGTTGTCTTGGTTTCTGACTGACTCTGGTGGTGATCTGGTGTGGCACCCTTTCAGCCCCACAGAGACAGTCCTCTTAGTCTTCTCAGAGCTAGAACTAAATCATATTGTTGCATGTCACACCCATCTCATCACTCTCCTGGTGAGCTGTGCAGAAGCTGGGCTCTCAGTCCTTCCCAGAGAAATGCAGCTGGTGCCTTAATCTTAGTGTGAGATGAATTCCCATGGGTCCAACTCTAATTTGCCTTGGAGATACTGTATCGGGTCCTTTTTTGAAGAGAAGTCTGGCAGTCTTGTTTTAGGAGTCATAAACTGTGAAAAAAACTGAAAGCAGTGTCTTCCTCCTTCATTCAGTGACAGAGGATTTGGAGGAATAATCAGTGGCCAATTAATACCAGTTTTATTATAACTGTGTAACAAGTTGCCTAGTTAGAGCTGAATTGGAAAAGAGGGTTTAATTTAGGATTTGATGGTTGTATTTAGCATTTCAAATATGTTTTCACATCTGTATTGTACAACTTCTGCAGTCCCCAAACAGTGTGGGCTGAACTGGAACCTCAGCTGAAACAACCCCCAGAGGTTTGGGGTGTTTGGAGCCTGTTTCCTAGCTCAGCTCCAAGCAGCTATGGCTTGGACCAGTTTCTAGTTGAAGTCCTTCAGAGACCATGGGTGGGATTTTCAGAGGAATCAGAGGGTGTTGAACAGTCATCTCCTTCAGGCTTTTCAAGAATGAGTCCATATACTTCAGCTTCCTCTGGATTTTGCCCTGACTTTACAGTCTGGAAGAGGAATGCACCCTAAAGGCTAAGATTAAGGTAGATGGACATAGAATAGGTGCTTGTGGTTCTTCCCAGTGATTTGTGCATGACCTTTGGCTAACTCTCACTGTCTGCCCTGTGATTGCTCTGTCTGTTCAAGAGGGGTACCAGTCCTCAGTGCCTGCAGTAGTCTCTGGCTGGATTTGGCTGAAGAACTTGGTTTTGGGCCTCAAAGAAGGGTCTCCACTTTGATCCTTGTAGCCCCACTACATTTTACCTGCTCTTTGGATGTTCTTGTGTATTTGCAGGGCTTGATAAAAGCCCACAGGATGAACACCCACGCTTGCTCCTTCGAGGAAGGTCCTTCCAAGATTTGTTCTAGTTCATTTCCAGTTGGTGTTTGTGTTGCTGTGGGCTGGTTGGTGTCAGACACCCGAGTTTTACACAGCCTGTGCTCCCCCCTCTCCTCCACCCCATCTCAAATCTGGGAGCATCAATCTGAGCAGTGGGGGGGGAATCTTAGAGCTTCAAACCTCGTGGAGAGACTGCAGAAAGGCTGACAGTAATAAATCAATCAGGAGTATTTGCCACAGTGGAAATACATACAGGCACTTTCATCCTTTAAAAAGTAATAATTGATTTTTCAATCAGCTTGGCGTTTGATGTGGTGGTAGCTGTAATAAACATGAACAAGCCATTAGTCCCAGACAATATGTTTTCACTTCTTTAGCAACCATCAAGGCTTTGACCAGGTGTTGCCTAAATAAATGCATGAGAAAAGCATAAAGCATCACACTCTCCTTCTGGTTGCTCACAGATCTCTTAGGAAGACTGTCACAGCATCCTGCAGAGCTCAGTCTGTGTGTGTATAGCAGAGCCCTCATCTCTGAGGGGCACTGCAAGCTCTGTGATGCGTGTCTTCACACTGGACAGCCTTGCAGATGGCTTCTCTGTCCCCTCTCTATGCCTATCTCTCTCTTTCTCCTTTCCTGCTTCTCATCTACTGCTTCTAAAGTTTCTCTAAGACAGAGCCCCCTCCCTGTGCTTGCTCGCCCCCAGCGCCCTGCGGAGGAGTCCTGACAGGCCCGGCAGGAGTGATCCTGTCCCCGCAGTACCCCGAGCCCTACCCCCCGGGGAAGGAGTGTGACTGGCAGCTGACTGTCTCTCCTGACTATGTCATCGCCCTGGTCTTCAACACGTAGGTACCCCAGAGCCCCCGGGCTGCCTGTGGGGAGGGGAAACCAGCCTGGGGCAGGTGGGTCCTTTCCTCCCTAAAGGGACCAAACCAAACCTGGCAGGACTGTCCCATAGTGCTGGGTAATCTGTTCTCAGGTGTTACCTTAATTTGGGGAAAATACACATAGTTGAAGTGCAGCTCCTCTTTGAGATGCACGTGGCCTTACAGAGCGTGACCGTGTGGTGCAGCACAGGAAACCCCCAGGGCCACACAGGATGACACCCTTGTGCTCCTGGGTGCTCCACCAGCCCTCAGCTCCCTCCGTGTGGAGCACAGCCAGGCACGTCCTGTGCTCGAGGAGCTGCTCTGGGGCAGGAGCAGTCTCTTGGCCATGTGGCTGTAGAGCTCACCGGGACCACAGCCCCTTCTCCAGGGGCTGCTGTGCCGTGCTCCTACTTCAACCACTTTTCCTTTGGTTTCTCAGCTTCAGCTTGGAGCCCGGCTATGATTTCCTTCATATCTACGACGGCCCTGATTCCCTCAGCCCCCTGATAGGAAGTTTCTACGGGTCCCAGCTGCCCGAGCGCATCGAGAGCAGCAGCAGCAGCCTCTTCCTGGCCTTCCGCAGCGACGCCTCCGTCAGCAGCGCCGGCTTCGTCATCGAGTACACAGGTGGGCACCTCCCACCCCCCCAGCCAGCCCAGAGCTGCTACCTGGGCTTCTTCTGGGGCTGGACCACCTCGCTGAGCTGGAAGGGAGGAGCTGGAGACCCCGGGCAAAGCTGCTGCTGTCGGGTGTGTTACCACCACAGCTCGCTCAGGGGCACGGGGAGGGGAAACTGGGGCTTGAAGAGGAGGGATGCTGGGAGAAGAGCCAACGTACATAATGTGGATAAGTCCAATATAAAAGGACTGGTGCATGGCTGAGGATCAGCCACATGTGGCTGCTTCTCTGTGGGGCTTGCACTAACAGAGAAGAAAATTTCACATCACTTTTTTTAATTCAAAGAAAACAGGAGGGAGATTCCCAGGAAGTATATATTTACATATGGTCTGTATTCTGTGTAATCTCTCTTGCTCCACTCTGAATCTAAGTAGTTCTGTCTCGTTGGTGAGCAGAACATGCTGCTTCATTGCAGATCTGGGCTTTCAGAATACTAGAGAGAGCTGAGCTGTTCACTGGTTATTAGGAGTGCTCCACATTCCCCCGAATTTAAGATGTATTCTTAGTGGCAGGAGCAGCTTTGTCCTAGAAAAGGAGTTGCAGCCATTTATTCCAGTGTGGGAATCTCGGTCTGGATCCTGGATACTCTCATTCAGAGTGTGTCTGATGGCTGTGTGGCTGTGTCTCGAGCAGAGGGTCAGGGAGGGGTGTGCTCAGCTCTCCTGAGTCAGTGAAGCTCTCCTGAAATCTCTGCATTTTCCTGCTTAACGTTCTAAAGCATCTACTCTAAAATTCACTAATAATTGGTAAAATGAACAGAATAGTTCATAGATACCTGTATTATAGAGGCTTTTTTTTCTTGCTTGCTGGAGGGGGAAGTAAAACCTGGTGGTGGCTTCAGGTCTAATGGTGAGAGACAGGGGCAGTGGTTGGAGCTTTCCCTGGGTGCTTTTCGCTCTCTGTTGATGGAGCAAGCTGAGAAGTGACAGCCCAGGCAGGGCTGCTCTGGGAGCTGGGGAAAGGAAAGGCTTTGGCTGATAAGTTCCTTCTTTGTGCCTAGGGTAGGTGGAAGAATGGAGTTGTTACCAAATAGTAAAAAATACACCCTGAAGAGCTGGGTCTGATGAACCAGGCTTATGCAGAATGGAGAAAAGAGTGAAAAACTGGGGAAAAAAATACATGGCTAGAAAGAAGTGATTCCTCAAGCCTGTGCTGACATATACGGGCTGGTTTGGAGCATGGGAAAAAAGCTTTGATGGCTTCAGATGTACTGGATGTGAGCCACTGTTGGGTCTCATTGGGCCAGCTGAGTGTGGTGGGAACAGTAATATCTCATGCTGGAGAGGAATGGGCTGCTTGGGCAAGTCTCTCTTCCTGTACCCTGTTTCTGCTCTTGAGTTTACCTGACCAGAGGTTAAATGATAGTGAAATGGCAGTTCCTGTTACGCTGAACAGATGAATTTCCCTCTAGCAGTTATGAAATAATAAGACAAAGAGTTGGCACTGCTTCAGATTCTGGAGATTAAAAGTTTTCTGCTCTCCCAAGAATTCATTTTACTGAAAATTAAGTCTCGAGTTTTCTTCTTTTCCCCTTTCTCTTTGGGCAGCCAGAAAGTAGTTAACAAACAAAGTCTCGTTAAATTAAGGTGGTTGTGCAATGTGTTTTTCTCCCAAACACTCCTACAGTGTTAATTGTGCCTACGTACTTCCCACAAAGCCAAACTGCTGGGAGAAAAGAATGAGGCTTTAATTTTGCTCAGTAATTTCCTTGCACTTTAAAAGGAACCTGGATTTCAAGTCTGAGGAGAGGCAGAAAATAGAACTTCAGGGAATGGAAGGAAGAGGAAAAGAAATGCAGGAGGGAGCATGTGTGAATGGAAAAGAAACACAGAGCCTGTCTCCTTGCCAGGGTGGAATCCCAAGTACAGTTCAGAGTCGGTCTCCTCGTGTTCAGTCAGTGCAAATTACTGGTAATTAGCAGGGACTTTGCACTTCTCTTTAGGGATGGTTTGGGGGAAAACACAAAGGCAAGCCAAGCAGCCTTCTCTCAGCCCTTCCCTGAGGTCCTGCATCCTCACTGGGGCTGGGTGGAGAGCCTGAAGCTATGCTGGGGGAGGTGAATTTAAGCAGCCTCAGCACTTCATCTGAGATTGTTTCAGGGGCAATGGCTCTTCAAGAGAACGGGGCCAGGAGGGATGGAGAGAATCGAGAAGAATGAATTTGGCTTTTAGAATGCCATTTTTTTTGCATCGAGCATGACAGTGAGAGAGAAGTGGGAATGGAGCAATGCCATAGAAAGGTGTTTGAGGGCAGATCTTCAGGCAGGCAATTTCCCAGTTGAGCTACACAGATCCTCCACCAGCAGGATTTCTGATAGATGAACACACACCTTGTGCTTTGCACTCGTAACGTGCTGTCAGTTGTGCAGCAGAATGAAAACTCAAATGGAGGTCACAGAAGGTTCTTTCCCATGCACACTCACATTTACTGAGCATCATTTCTCTGCCTCCACAAAGCCTTGGATTGGCTCAGAGGGTCAGCTGAAACTTCAGTGCAACTGGGGAGGAATTTACTCTTTGGAATGACTTAGCAGCAGTGAGTAGATTTGGGGTTCAGGCTGGGTTGTGAAAGGGAGATGTGCTCTGCTCAGGCATCTCTGTAAGGTATCACAATCCTTAAAAAAAGTGCTTGTTTCTGCAACAAAAAAAAAGTGTTTGCAGCAGGAGCTTGGTGCATGTTGTGGTTCCTGTGGAAGCAGCATGCTGGGTTCCTCCCAGTCACTTGAGCCCAACCAGTATTAGCCTACCAAAGCACAAGGATAAGTTCTTGATTACAAAGCAAGAAAGACTGTTACAAAACAGGAGCTTAAACACAGGAAAGAAATAACCTGCAATATACATGGTGTTTATTTCTCCTTCCAGTTGCTGCTTAAGAATTTCTTTTGTCTCAACTACAGACAACTGAGGTTTTTAACTCAGTATCTCTACATGTATTCTCTTTTGTAGTGAGATAATATTTGTGTGTCTTAGTTACACCTGGGAGATTTCTGGTTATGGAGCAATGCTGGAGAAGTTTCCAAAACTGTTTCCAGTCAATTTAAAGGACTCCTTGGTCTGCCATTGCCAGACACTGCTACCAGAGACTCTCCTCAGTTTGGCTGGGGATGGAGCTTTAAAGGGAGGATTAGCTTTATTCGTTGGGAATTCAACTGAACTCTGATAAACAGTTTATATGGCAGCATCTCACAAACCACAGGTTATTTTTTTTTAAGATACAGTTTATATATTCATACACTGATATTTTTTAATGGAGACCACACTTTGTAGGTGATGTAAAGGGCAGGGTAGTCACTTGAAGAGCTTTTCCCAAGTGATCCCCCCCTTATATTTTGTGTGTTGGAGACCTGTTGCCATGAACACAGAAGTGAGTCAGACTCCATCTGAGCAAAGGGTTGATGCTGAATGGGACCCAAGGTGCACATGAGAGTTTAGGTCCTGCTTGGGGCAGAGGGTAGGAAGGAGCTTACAGGTTGGATGCTCCAAAGCAGGAGTTTTTCTCACAGTTTTCAGTACTTTCTGTTTCTGTTGTGGGCCAGAAGTGAAGAGGCATGAAATTGAAAGCAAATGAAGCAAAACTGATTACTTTTCACCCTTCGAAAGGAATGAAAGAAAAAACCAAAACAACCCAACACTAAACCCTAAGCCTGATTTCAAATCCATTATTATTTCTACAGAACTATTTTGCCCATCCTGAGCTTATAAACATATTCGGCATTGCTCACGGGCTATTTAAAGTGGAAATTCCCCACAGAAAACTCTGTTCTGTGAAATCTCTTGCAAAGCAAACTGTTTAAAAGTATCCAGCACTGTTAGAACAGTCAGAAATGAGAGGTGATGCTTGTCCCTGGAACAACTTGGGTTTGAAAAGCAGCTCTGTCCTTTGGAAAAGGTTGTTCATTTGTCTGGGATGAGTTGGAGAGTGTTGGACTCGTCTGAGCTGCTTGGGATGCCAAGTGCTAAGGCTGCACCTGGTCTTTCAGACCCTAATGTCATTTGTCCTGCCTTCAGTATGCAATGACTGTTGTGGAAAACTGTCTTCCAGACAATTTCTCTTGGAGTTGCTTTGAGGCTTAGCTCTTAATAAAGGCTCGTGCACGTTCACAGCTCTGGAGTTCCTGACGCACCTTGTGGACAACAGCTCTCCAGTGAAGCTGTTCTTGGCCATGCAGATGACAGCCTGACCTCCTGGTCTGTAGGCTTTGAGTTTTCCTTGGGAAAGGAGAGGGGAAGCACAGAAAATTCTGCTTTCTCTGGACTAATGAGCCAGTTCTCATGGCATTTTTGTCTGGACTCTTTCTAAACATTTGGCAGCCTGAATCCATGTTAATTGGGACATCAGGGTAAAGTCCTTGATTTCTGAAGTGTCTGAGTGAAAATAAAACATTAATTCTAAATGGGCAAGCTGTGCTGTGCTCACTTCATAGCCTAATAAATCAAAGGCTGGCGAAGCTGTGGCTTTCCCACATCCCTCCACGAGTCTTTTGCAGTCACCATGCAACCAAATACTTGCTTAAAGTTGAGCTCCTGCCTCCTTTTGTAGCCTGCTGCTGAGGATCATCGGGGCTGTTGTCTGCAGAGGAGTGTTTGGCTGGAGATAAGCACACAGTGTGTCAGGGTGCATTGTCCTCGAAGGTGAGTGGTGTCCCTGAAGGGTCCAGAGACCCTCCTGGGGGGAACAGGCACAGTCAGGAATGAGGAGGACACAACAAAAGCTCAGCAGTCAGCCACCACCCTTTTCTCAGCAGTCACAGGGTGGCTTGAGCACTGAATGTGGTGGGTTTTTTTCAAAGCAGGAGCAGAGGCTGAGATCAAGCACATGGCTGAGACATCTGACAGCCAGGTAGGAGGCTGATGGACGGGTTGAAGCCACATCAGCTTGTTAGATGAAAGGCAGCAAGACTGTTCAAAATAACAAGAGAGGCATAAAGTGGTCAGAGGGAAGCCACTGGGTGCAGCTTTTCTATGAAAACATCTAAAAATTAATATTAGCAATTCAGAGAGATAAAGGCTTGCAGAGGGAAGAAATACTTTGGAGAAGCAGGTGAAGCATTTCCATGCTGCTGGGTGTGACTGGGCTCTCGGCCAGGCAGCCGTGCTGCTCCTCTCCAGTGCCCTGGCTGCTGATGCCCAGCAGCAGTTGGTCACCTCGGTGGGCTGTGGTGACCACTCTGCACAGGAATTGACTCTCAGTGGTGGTAAAGGCTCCCTTCTCCAGCTACAGCTGATGAGTGAGGAGGGAATGTGTTCTTCTGAGCTGAGCAGAGCACCAGGCACTTTGCTTTGCAGTGCAGTGACTACAGCAAACATTTTTGGTCCTGATATCTTGCTCCCCACAGTCAAGATCTCCCTGTTGTGTCTGTCTGGTGGCTCAGTGTGACCTCCCATCAGATCCCACACAGGAGACAACAGACTGAAGATATTTGTTGCATTCTTTTGTCTTAGAACCCAAATCTTTCCATCATGTTCTGAGTTTCAGAGCACTTCTGATTGCAGCAGTAATTGTGCTTCTAGGCTCTTGTGTGTCTCTTCCCAGGGTCAGATAACCTGGGATGTTGTGTTATTTGGTGGACAAACAGGTGCTCAGAGGAAAAGGGACTTGTCCAAAGTTTGTAACACAGAGGAGAAGCCAGAGGAGAAGCCAGGACCTCATGGTTTAAAGCCTGAAGTGTGTGATGGTCTGTGAGGAGCACTGGGGGTTGGCCAGGCTGTGGCTCCAAACTAGGGAGCTGGTGCCTTAGGGAGAACCAGTGGCCTCACTCTGGTTCAGGGGAGCTCTTGGTGGACAATTTCCACGTCCTTTTCTGCCCTGTTTACCTGGCACCCTAGCTGGTGGTACAGCTGCTGTGTAGGGGAAACCATAGAGCTAATCTTATTTTTCACTGCAAACAAAGAAACAAAAGCAAGATCTGGGTGCTTTACTGTTTTCTGTTTCTCCCTCCACCCCTTCCCCAAATACTGAAAGCCCATGATTTAATGCTTAAACACATTATAATTGTTCACAGACCCACTGCTCTCAGGAAAGCCCTCATCTTTAATGAGCAATTTCCAAGTGACAAAAGAGCAGGATTAATCAAAGCCTCTAATTATATTTCATGCAGGAAAAAAAAAAAAGATTAAAAAAAATAAAGAAGAAAAAAGCCCTTAGAAGAAGAAGAAGGAAAGAAATATCCAAGTCCTGACAGCTCTGTAGTCTTTACTGGAATTTTCATATGTAAATGGAGTTTTTAACTCTGCAGGGCATAGTGAACAGAGAGAAAAATGTCTTCATTTTGTCTAACTGCTTGTAATCATTTTGCCATAATTGCAGCCACGCTGCACATCTGGAGACTGGAGCAGCCAGCACATGGCACTGTGGATCTCCGTGGTGAGAGCAGACAGCTCCTGGATCCGGGAGTGATAGGTGCCAGGGAGATGATGGGAACAGATGGAGCACATCTGAAATGTGCTGCGTGTTCAATCTGTGTTTAGGTGCCCTGGTTTGCAGAGCTCCCTGCAGCCTGTCCCCTGCGTGAGAAAGGGGAGCGAGTGTAGGTAGACAAGTCAAAGCTTTGCCTTGCTGAGTGGCTTTTGAGTACCAGTAAATGTGTGTGTGAGCTCTGAAGCTTTCCTCCTTCCAGTGTGCTTGTGCTGGAGCTGAGCATCCGAGCACAGCCCCCATCAGAATCTGACCCCTGCGATTCCCCAGGTCCAGCAGCGGCAGGGAACGCTCAGAATCTAAACCCTGCTGTACTTAAGTGAGATTCCCAACTGAGAAGAAACAAAAAACCCAAAACAGAAATCATGCTATTGCCCCAAATTTTAGAGCAGCTGTATTAGATCAGCAGAGACCTTGGCCATTTTCCCCCCCAGAAAACCCCCGGGAGTCGTGCTTCGACCCCGGCGCCATTAAGAACGGCACGCGGGTGGGCACGGACCTGAAGCTGGGCTCCACCATCACCTACTACTGCGACGGGGGCTACGCCATCCAGGGGGTCTCCACGCTGACCTGCGTGATGGGCGAGGATGGAAAACCCACCTGGAACAAACCCCGACCCACCTGTACAGGTAAGGCCCGAGGGGGAGGGTCAGCAGGGAGAGCTCTGCCTGTCGCCAAGCGCTGCAGCAGTTTATCCCCATGAAAAGCTGCTTGTGATTTTTCCATAGAGCTGCTTGCAGGGGCACAAAGGGCTTTTCTCAGTGTTTCGTAGTTTTTCAATTTTTTAACACCTGGAGGTGATGAAGAGCTGACTTATATGAGGTTTTTTTTGAACCTTCTTTTGAGAGAGACAGAAAACTGGACACAAGAGATTATCTGCGTGACAAATCCTGTGTCCCAGGTGCAGGGTAGGATTCAGGAAGCCACTTAAACATTTCCTTAACCCAATCCCCATTAATCAAAGCCCTTAAGCCTCTGCTTTCCTGAGAAAACAGGAGGTATTTTTTTTCTTAGATGTTCCATGGTTATTTTGTTTTCTTTTCTGGCTTAATGAGAAAATGGTTTAAATGATGGGTTTTCAGTCAGACCTCCTTCATCTGAGAAGTGAGTCAGGAGATAGCTGTCAGTCTGTGCTGACTGGAGGAGTGAAATCTCTGAGTGGGGAGGATGCTGATCCCACAGGAGCCAGGATGCTGCTGCTGAGAGAGGGTGAAGAGGGCAGGGGCTCAGCTCGGGTGGAGAGCAGTGCTGAGCACACATCACTCTGCACCACACGCATCCTTAGCCTGGTGTGGGCCCAGGATAAACCTTACCTTGCCCAGAACTCACAGGGAGGGCTGGGGGGCTGGAGTGGGGGCAGCTGACACCCCCCAGCCTTACAGCCCATGGGCTGGGGGGTCTCAGGGCAGCGGGGAGGGGGCTGATGTTTCAAGGCTGGCTTTGGAAAGGGTCCACTCAGAGACCTCTTCTCCACTCTCTTGCAGCACCCTGTGGGGGTCAGTACACGGGCTCGGACGGCGTCGTCCTGTCTCCAAATTATCCCCAGAACTACACCAGTGGACAAGTCTGCCTGTACTTCATCGTTGTGCCAAAGGACTATGGTATCAGGGTTGGGGGTTTTTGGGAAATCTACTGGCTGTGCAACTCTGTTGTTTGGGGGTTTTTTTTGTGTTTGAACAAAGCAGTAGAATAAGTGGATGTACAAGTGGAGATATGGGAGGTTGGAACACAGTAAGTGGCACTGTTGGATGCTCTTTACACTTTGTAGTCAGTAAGGACAATGGGAATTTTCTGAGACAAAACCCCCCAACCTAACAAAAAACACCATCTTGTGATTCCCCTTCCAATATCCAGTCATGTGGATCTGAAAATTCAGGAAAAGATAACTCATGGTGATTAATGCTAGCAGCAGACTCGGAGAACCTCCAAGAGGAAAAATGTCTTTACCATAAACACATGCTGGCTGTGGTGCTAAATGAGCTGTCTGCAGACAGGAGCCCCGCAATGTAGTTTTGTGGCTGCACAGCCATGGTACTTATGGCTAATTTTTATTTCTAAATGAGATGTAAGTTAAATTTTCAAACCAGAGCCAAACAAAAGCCAGATCCATTTAAACAGAGGGTCGTTCTTTTTATAGAGTCCAGTGCTGTGTAGTTTTGGCCAGAGCTTGACTAGGAGGATGATCAATGCTGTAGGAGCCTTTGAGGCAGCCAGCTGGGGACGGGTATTGGTTAACATATTTTCTTGTTTGAAGGGAATTTAAAGTTCTTAAAGAGCACTTGCAGTGACAGCTCTGGCAGGTGAAGGTCTCTGAATTCTGCTATTTGATACAGCTTCTCAGTGCAGGGTATTGATCTAGCCAGTCCCTGTGGTCCTGGCAGTTGTTTGTGGTTTCCTTTGCTGCGGTGGCGGGGTGTGAAGTGAGGATACGTGTGCAGGCATCAGCTGGAGCTCCTTCCACTCGACCTGCCCTTCTGCCCCTGTGCACCCAGGTGCCACCTGAGCTCCTGGCTCCAGCTGAGGACACACTGCACTGCTCTCTTACCCCTCAGCCTCTTTTACTACTGTTCCTCATATTGTCTTAAGGTTAACAGAGTAACTGGAGGGGTAGACAGCCTCGATCTGCAAGTCTGACTCCTGCCTGCAGTAGGATGACAGCTAAATTAGTTTCTCTTCCCCACCTGCTACCTTTCAATAGCTTCATTAAAAACGAGCAGGAAAACCATTAGTAGTGACTAGTATGCATTTCCCATCACCTTCCCTGCTCAGATTCTGTGTGCAGCAGGCATCGGGGTGTGCTGTCATCACTTTTTCAGTGTTCCCAACATCAAAGCTGTGCTGGAAACCTGAATGCGCAGGAAACAAATGTCATAGCTTGGTGGATGATGAATTTCACAGCGAGAGACCTCTCAGCTTGTGAAACTGCAACTGGGCATTTATGACTTGGAAATGCAAAGCTAGGACAGGAAACAAAGGAGAGGGGGGGAAAAAAAAAATCTTCTAAGTGCAGATTTAGAAGGAAAAAACCTAAAGCTGTGCTGGAAACCTGAATGCGCAGGAAACAAATGTCATAGCTTGGTGGATGATGAATTTCACAGCGAGAGACCTCTCAGCTTGTGAAACTGCAACTGGGCATTTATGACTTGGAAATGCAAAGCTAGGACAGGAAACAAAGGAGAGGGGGGAAAAAAAATCTTCTAAGTGCAGATTTGGAAGAAAAAAACCTGTTATTGTATTCTGAAAAATAAAGATAAATAACTAAAGTCTCTTTGCTGTAGCTAAAAAAAAAAGCCCAGCTCTGATCCTCTCATTATCTCCCTTCTGCGAGCTCTGGGTGTGTTTCCAGTGTGTGGCAGGACCCAGAGCAGGGACCAGCTCCCTCCTCAGTGGTCTCTGTAGGGAGGCTTAGGACTGACTGTGAATGAAATTGTGAGTGTCCTCTCTCCCTGCCAGTCATCCCCCCTGACCAGGGGGGCTCAGGCTAGAAATGAAGTTCTTCAGGACAGGACTTGGTGTTTTGTTCAGGTTTTGTAGGACGCCGAACGCAGCGGGAGCTTCCTGGGAGAGGTTCAGTACAAATAATAAATAATAATTACTGGCTGGTGAAATTACACACCTAGAGTCACGTGGGCAGGCAAATGGGATGATTCACAGACGGATCCCTTTTGGCCTGTGAATCAGTGTTAAAGCCTGCTGGCAAGTGAGCACGGGGGAGGCTGGTTGCTGCTTCTGTCATGCCTACTTGGTGGATAAATAAAGAGCTCCCGTCTTCCAGAGCTGCCAGTCGGGCCCTTTTTATCTTTGCCAAGCTCCTGAAATAGCAGAAGCTGAGGTGGCCCTGGCTGCGTGGGGCTGGTGCTGTGGCTCCTCCCGCTGCAGGTTTCAATTGGATATCAGGAAGAATTTCTTCACTGGGAGAGTGGTGAGGCACTGGAACGGGCTGCCCAGGGAGGTGGTGGAGTCACATCCCTGCAGGGGTTCAGGTGTAGCACTTGAGGCTGTGGTCTAGTGGTTAGGGAGATGTGGGGGTGAAGGTTGGGCTTGATTCTAAAGGTCCTTTCCAGCCCTGGTGATGCCATGATTCCATGATGCTCCTCTCTTGCAGTGGTCTTTGGGCAGTTTGCCTTCTTCCAGACCGCGCTCAACGATGTCATCGAAGTGCACGATGGCCCCAACGAGCAGTCCCGGCTCCTCAGCTCCCTCTCGGGCTCCCACACAGGTAAGGAACGTGTCCCTGTCACTGCTGGGAGGAGCAGCCAAAGCCAGAGCCTGCCACCTCTGCCCCTGCTCTGTGCAACCCCTTTGTGCCACCAGTGCTGCAACCTCTCTCTCTCCTCATCCAGGGGAATCGTTACCGTTGGCTACCACCAACCAGATTCTCATCAAATTCAGTTCCAAAGGTCAATCTACAGCCAAAGGTTTTCATTTTGTCTACCAAGGTGAGTACAGTTGTGTTCTGGAGATGCCCTCAGGTTGGTCCCAAGATAATGGTCAAAAGTACAAGTGAAGTCTTGAAGTGTCCTGAACTGCTTTTGGCATCTGTGGGTCCTTCCACGCTTGGCCTGAACAGGGGTTATCACAGGAGGTGAAGATTATTCTGGTAGCAGTGAACTTGCAGGGCTGTCTGGCTCCTGTGGGTACTTCATATTTAGACCTTCCCTTTTCCACTCAGCCTCAACCCTCACGCATCCCAGGATTAGTATCAGAAGCATCTCACTGAATCATGCCCTGAGTACACAGCAAGTTCTTGCAGTTTATACCCAGGCAGTTTTTCCCACTGGCGTTTTAGCACATTTCTCAGGGTGAGCAGCTGAACACTTGTCTAGCAGCTCTGTAAAATCCTTCCTCTGCGTGTCATAAGCTTAGGTCTCCTGCTGTCAAACTTTTGCCCCTTGATCCTTTCAGTAACAGCTTGTACTGCACTGGGCGAGTCCCACTTGGAGATTTTAAAGTAGTAAATAGAAAGTGATGCACGGAAGAGTGGGAAAACAGAGGAGCTTTCTCACCCACACACCCCTTGTAGTCATCTGTGGTTCAGCCAAGCTCCTCCATGCATGCTGGTGTAAAGTGGGGGGACCCTGCAGGGGCAACCTGTGCCTTCTTGGGGGGCTGAGTGAAGCATTGTTTGGATTTTGTAGCATCCAGAGAGCCGTTGTCTTGAGTTCCTGCAATTATTTTAAAACAATGGTAGTTCTGATAGTGATCTTTAAAGGTTTCAGCAAAGCAAAGGTCCTGATGACATCAGGAGATTGCCTCCTCCCTCCTGCGTGCTGATTGTGAGCTGCAGGCTCTTCAGCAATTACTGGGTGGAAAGCAAGAGTAAAAGCAAGAGCCAGCCCTGGTTTGATCTGCCTGGCCAGGCACTAGTGGCCTTCACTTGCCCTCCCTCTCCCAGAGCCCCACCCAGCCATGCCCCTGTGGCAAGCTGCCCCGAGGTGAAGGAGTCAGGAGCCTGAAGCCCCTGACACAGACCTGGGTCTTCCCGTGGTGTGGAGTGGCCACGCACGGACTCGTTGGCCACCAATGGCTGAACTGGGCTGGTCTGAGCAGGGGTGCAGGTCCAGGAGTGTTTTGGCCATCTGGGATTTGCCCAAAGTAGTGCAGCATCATAAGTGGCTCTTGTCTGGCTCTCTGTTCCTCTCCCCATCCCACTCCTGATGGTCTTTGTGGGATGCCTTTGACAGAGGGTCTCAGGTTCACCTCTCAGAATGGAATCACAATGAAACAGCCCAGCTAATGTGCTCATCATCCCCCTGTTCTGCCCCTCCCAGCAACGGAGGCATTAAACACTAACAAATTGTAAAGCAACCCAGAGGAAAATATCGATTTCCTTCTCAGCAGTAGACATTTCTTTTGACTTGTTTTTCCCCTCGTTTATCTGTCAGACTCTGAGTTTCTTTCTTTGACTGTTGTTCCAGTATTGAGCAGGAGCACAGGCAATTTTAACAGCTGGCGATGCAGTATCACAACTTAAATTCCCTTTTTCTTTCCTGCACCTTTCTCAACATGAAAAAGATTGTTTAAAATCGCTGAAATTTATAGTAATGAGGCTGAATGAGCTGAGAAACCTAAAGGGTTTCTGAGGCTCTGGCATTCCATGGCAAACCAACTTCTGAGAAAGGTATTGCCGAGGGATTTGGTTTCCCTATTTACAAATGACTGTTCTGAGGTGATGATGAGTTTTGTGAAGACAATCCCATCTCGGAAAGCACGCGTGGTGCTGCCACGTCCGAGCTGCTTTAATTTTACTTTTTTAAAGAATTTTTTATAATGTATCCCTTGAACAGACAGAAGTTGGGGTGAAACGTTATTTCTCTTTCAACAATGATGCGTGGATCCATCTTTTCGGGGGGTTTAGACAGAAGCAGCTTCCCGTGGTGATTCAAACAGCTCCTTCACCTGACACCCAGTGTTTCCAGGCGGCTGGCTCTGACGGGGTGTGTTTTTTGTCTCTGGTGGGCAGCGGTGCCCCGGACCAGCGCCACGCAGTGCAGCTCGGTGCCGGAGCCGCGGCAC